AAAGGGTTAATTACTTGTACTCAAGAGTCTGACATCGTACTCAAGGGGCTAAGGCTAGCTCACTCAAAAATGCTAATTTACTACGCTTAAACTTCTGACATGAGCCGTAGAGGAACTTCAAGAAATTAAGGAACCAGTAATTATCTTCTGGGTCGTAGAGGAAGGAGGAGGAGGAGGAAGAGGAGGAGGAGGAGGAGGAGGGAGGAGGAGGAGGAGGAGGAGGAGGAGGAGGAGGAGGAGGGAGAGGAGGAGGAGGAGGGGAGGAGGAGGAGGGTAAACATCAAGGAGGAACGAGCCAGGCAGGAGGAAAGGAAGTCTGACGTCATTAAGGGCGTGATATAAACTTGTTAAATTATAAGAGTTTGGGTGAGTTGATGTTCCTTGGGGCGGTAGTTGGCTCTATTAGTCCTTCCTGTTTTGTCTCTTGTCTTATCTCTCTCTCTCTCTCTTCTCTTTCTTCTGTTTCCTTCGTTTTGTTTTGTTTTCTTTCTTTATTTTCTTCTCTATCTCCTTCTGTGGTTGTTTATCTTTCCCTGTCTGTCTGTCTGTCTCGTCTGTCTGTCTGTTTACACTTACTACTCTACATTCTCTAGATATCTATCTCTCTTGTTTACAAACGACTCTCTCTCTCTCTCTCTCCCACACAGCCAGGTAAGGCAAAGTAAAGGCAAGGCAAGGTAAAGCAAGGCAAGGCAAGGTAAAGCAAGGCAAGGCAAGGTAAAGGTAAATAAGGCAAGGCAAGGCAAGGCAAGGCAAGGCAAGGTAAGGCAAGGTAAGGCAAGGTAAGGCAAGGCAAGGCAAGGCAAGGCAAGGTAAACAAGGCAAGGCAAGGCAAGGCAAGGCAAGGCAAGGCAAGGGTAAAGTAAGGCAAGGCAAGGTAAAGTAAGGTAAGGCAAGGTAAAGCAAGGCAAGGTAAAGCAAGGTAAAGCAAGACAAGGCAAGGTAAAGCAAGGCAAGGTAAGGTAGGCAAGGTAAAGCAAGGCAAGGTAAGCAAGGCAAGGTAAAGCAAGGTAAGGTAAAGAACAAGGTAGAAGGTAAAGAAGACAAGGTAAAGAAAGGCAAGGTAGCAAGGCAAGGTAAAGCAAGGAAGAACAGAAGTAGAAGGTAAAGCAAGGCAAGGTAAAGCAAGGCAAGGTAAAGAAGGTAAGAAGAAGGTAAAGCAAGGTAAGCAAGGCAAGGAGCAAGGCAAGGCAAGGTAAAGCAAGGCAAGGTAAAGCAAAGAAGGTAAGGCAAGGAAGAAGGCAAGGCAAAGTATAAGGCAAGAAGGCAAGGCAAGGTAAAGCAAGGCAAGGCAAGGCAAGGTAAGGCAAGGCAAGGCAAGGCAAGGCAAGGCAAGGTAAAGGCAAGGCAAGGCAAGGTAAAGCAAGGCAAGGCAAGGCAAGGCAAAAGCAAGGCAAGGCAAGGTGCAAGGCAAGGTAAGGCAAGGCAAGGTAAAGTAAGGGCAAGGTAAAAGCAAGGCAAGGCAAGGTAAAGCAAGCAAGGTAAGGCAAGGCAAGGCAAGGCAAGGCAAGGCAAGGCAAGGCAAGGCAAGGTAAGGCAAGGCAAGGTAGGGTCTATTAGTACCGAGACAGGTTAGAATAGAGGGCCAGCCTGACCTCCAACTTCCAAGTCTAAAACAACATTCCTTCACCACTGGCCTCTCGCCTTCAGCCCCTCTCTTACTTGTAAAAAAGAGAGAGAAAAAACAAGAGAGAGAGGGATAAAGAGGGGGAAGAGAAACGGGGATGGGTGGAAGAAGGAGAGGCATGAGAGAGAGAGAGAGAGAGAGAGAGAGAGAGAGAGAGAGAGAGAGAAGTGGGTGGAAATGTGAGTGGGGTGAGAGGGAGAGAGGGACGCTCGCTATAACACCTAACATCAACACTGGCCAATTGCCTCAGGGGTCGCTAACAAAACTCTTGTCTCCTGCCTTAAAAAAATATAAACGTGGACTAAAACATTTCAAGGCTACCTAACCTAACCTAACCTAACCTAACCTAACCTGAAAATTGAGGAAATCATGCAAAGTGAATCACAGGGCCGGGGAGGGGGAGGGGTTCTTGGGTCAGCTCTCAGAGAGTAGGTCAGCATCTCTTCCTCCTCATCCTTCTTTCTGTTCCTCTTCCTACTGATCGTCCTTCGCGTCCTCCCTTCTTTTCTCGTCTCTCTTCTCAACTAATCGCCCCTCCACACGCACTCCAACGATCCCTCCTCAACCTACAAATCAACACCCTCCTCCCACACACACACGCACGCACACACACACACCATCAACTCCTTTCCCCACCTTGACACCCTCACCTTCCCTCCCTCTCCACCCACCACCGCCCCCACACACCCACACCACCTCCCTCCACCACTCACCCCCTCAATATCACCAACACCTCCCACACCTCCCACTTGATCATGAGTGCGTTGCGTCGGCTGGTGAGTAATGTATAGGTGTGACACTCAACCATGGATGAGAGGGGGGGTGGCAGAGTGTGTGGTCGCATGGTTCACACACTGACTAATACACCTTCAGTTTAGTTGACATGCAAATTAGATTCAACCATGCAAGGGAAGGGCGTGTCTTTATTCATTCACCTATATAGAACTGGGGTTTATGAGAACTCGCACCTATTAGGACTCGCACCTATTAGAACTGGAGCCTATTAGAACTGGGGTCTATGAGAACTAGCACCTATTAGGACTCGCACCTATTAGAATTGGGGCCTATTAGAACAGTGGGCACTTCTAACCTACTCACTTTACCTAATTAACTCACCTGCAACGAAACACCTTCTAAGTTAACCTCACGTGATTAATGATCTTCTGTACTAACACGTCATCACACACGTCATCAAACACGTCATCAAACACGTCATCGAACACGTCATCGAACACGTCATCGAGCACGTCATCATACACGTCATCATACACGTCATCATACACGTCATCATACACGTCATCGAACACGTCATAATACTAAAGAGCTCTCTAGTATATCCTAAAGTATGCCCCTTCTAGTATCATATAGCTGAGTATATCCCCATTTACCGAGTAGTATAATCAGGGTAATGTTATATTCGTGGTATAACAACGTGAGTATTATAGTGTAAAGAGAAGGGGTATTATTACGCTACCTTCGAGTATGATGAATTTACCTCTTTTGAGTACGATGATTTGACCTCCTTGAGTACGATGACTTGACCTCCTTGAGTACGATGACTTGACCTCCTTGAGTACGATGACTTGACCTCCTTGAGTACGATGACTTATAACGTTGAATAGAGTATGATGACTTGAGTACGATTATTTAACACCTTTAATATAATGAATTAACACCTTGAGGTCTTGTCATCGTATTCAAGGCATTAACTCCGTACTCACTGGCCTTATTCATCATACTCAGTGATTTTATTATACTTATTTTTAGTATAATCATCATAGGCATTATAGAGAGAAATAATATAATTCCTACACCTAAAATTTTTATCATTCTTAGTATAATCTCAGTTATACTCCATTCAATCTACTCTAAGTATAATCTAGCCTAAAATTATACTCCTGGGTGATATAATTCTCAGTAATATACCGCTGTAGTTCTTTTAGCTGTATAACGTGGTTTATCTTAGCTGAGTATATCTTTATAGCTGGGTATATCTTCTCATATTTCCCCAAGTTTTGTAATATTTCAGTTGTATGTTTTATCCTGTAACATGTAGAGTTCTGGTGGTGGTGGTGTTGTCAGCAGTTATTGTTTGTTGTTGTCAGCGTAGAGTCATTGTTGTTAGTGTTGTCAATGGGTAGCCGCTATGAGTAGTCTTGTCATGGGAAAGTCTGTCTGTCTGTCTGTCTGTCTGTCTGTCTGTCTGTCTGTCTGTCTGTCTGTCCATTGTCATTACTCAAGCAGGGGAAACTTGTACCTCTCGTCCTCTTCCTGGGAAATGACAAGAATTTAGATGTGTTTCACCCACACACACACACACACACACACACACACACACACACACACACGAGAGAGAGAGAAGGGGGTAAAATATACGGTATAGTGTTGTGTTTAATAGATTTATGTGCCTACCTTCACCACTAACACCATCACCACACTTAAGCCACCATAACCATCACTATATTACCACACTACACACCTCCACTCCCCAATCCCTGTCACACCACCACCATCACCACTCATTACCACACCACCACCATCACACCACTACCACCACCATGTCACCACCACCACCATCACACCACTACCACCACCACCATCACCACTCACTACCACCACCACACCACTACCACCACCATGTCACCACCACCACCATCACACCACTACCACCACCACACCCCTTCCACTCCTAGTCCTGACGCAGCTACATCATCATGTAGACATTATCACCACCTCAGACCTCCTCAAAGGGAGAGGTTATGAGCGGCCTCTACCTCCATAGGCAACATTAAGTCATCAGCTGTCTTAAAACACACACACACACACACACACACACACACACACACACACACACACACACACTATTTAAAAATCCCCTGAATTAAATTTTATGTATATTTACCAGTTAAAAATTGAAAGAGTATTACTTTTACTATATTTTTAACGAAGATGCATCGTAAGGCATTTTTAATCATCTACTAAAATTCTAAAGATCTCCATGAAAATTTTCAAGACGAATAAATTTCCATCGGGTGTAAAATTTATACTCGGGATTTTTTTTGGGGGGATGACGTAAAAGGTAAAATTTCTCAAACGTCAAAAAGTCTTTAAAATTCTTCATAGGAATAAATCGTATAGTAATAATTTATTCTTTGTTTAAATGGAGGATAATACACAACAATCCCACCTACGAACAGAGAAACAAACGAACAAACGCACAAACAAACGAGCAAACAAACAAACAAACACAAAAAACAACAAATAAACAAACAAACACAAACAAACAAACACAACAGACACACACACACTCATTTAAGGAAAATATTTGAGATTCATAGATTTGAATGAAAAAAAAAGAGAAAGAAGTTTTATAATGATTGAGATGAATGAACCGTCCTTCAAGAGTGACCTACATTTATCATACCTAAAGCAATTTATCACCAAGCGTGTCTCAGGTAACGCAGGCAGGCAGGCAGGCAGGCAGGGAGGCAGGCAGGCAGGCAGGCAGGCAGGCAGGAGGAGGCAGGCAGGCAGGCAGGCAGGCAGGCAGGCAGGAGGCAGGAGGCAGGGAGGGAGGGAGGCAGGAGGAGGAGGAGGAGGGAGGGAGGGGAGGGAGGGAGGGAGGGAGGCAGGGAGGGAGGGAGGGAGGGAGGGAGGGAGGGAGGCAGGTAGGTAGGTAGCTCCTTGATCCAATAACTCAGACAGACAGACTTATCTGCTTCCAGTACGGTCTCACAGCTCATAATGTGGCTTCACAGCTCATAATGTGGTCTAATAGCTGACAATATAGTCTCACAGCTCACAACATAGTCTCACAGCTCACAATATGGTCTAACAGCTCACAATATGGTCTCACAGCTCACATTATGGTCTCACAGCTCACAACATAATCTCACAACTCACAACATAGTCTCACAGCTCACAACATAATCTTACAACTCACAACATAGTCTCACAGCTCACAATATGGTCTCACAGCTCACAATATGGTCTCACAGCTCACAATATGGTCTAACAGCTCACAATATGGTCTCACAGCTCACAACAAATACGTGAAAACAGTAACAACATTTTCACAAGAATTACACAAGACAATATTTCACACGTTCTAAACACATGGTCACTTAACAATGCACAAGGGCATTTTACCACTTTCTGCCTGGCAAGGAACACGTGAACCACTTAAGTCTAACACACACACACACACACACACACACACATTAACTAGTCATTTACAGCATAATACCTACAGAAAAGAACATATGAACATTGATAAAGAACAAGGTATTGAACAACGAGAACGATAGCCACAAGCAAAAAGAGTTCTTCAAGAGCTCACACACACAGAGAATACATCCCCTCGCGACCTGAATCACCTCATTGAAATAATTGGACCATCGTTATTATCACTCTTGTCACAGGCTCTTGTAGTGTGGTCAACTCCTTAGCTCTTTCCCGACTCTTAGGTCAGGTTAGGTTAGGTCAGGTTAGGTTAGGTTGGCACAGTTAATTACTTGCATTACTAAGACGCGATTGTATGTTGGTGTGTTGGTCCAAGAGTCAGTTGATCCAAGAGTCAGTTGGTCTAAGAGTCAGCTGGTCCAAGAGTCAGTTGATCCAAGAGTCAGTTGGTTCAAGAGTCAGTTGGTCCAAGAGTCAGTTAGTTCAAAGGTCAGCTGGGCCAAGAGTCAGCTGGTTCAAGAATCAGCTGGTCCAAGAATCAGCTGGTCCAAGAGTCAGTTGGTTCAAGAGTCAGCTGGTTCAAGAATCAGCTGGTCCAAGAATCAGCTGGTCCAAGAGTCAGTTGGTTCAAGAGTCAGTTGGTCCAAGAGTCAGTTAGTTCAAAGGTCAGCTGGTCCAAGAGTCAGCTGGTTCAAGAATCAATTAGTTCAGAGTCAGTTGGTCCAGAGTCAGTTGGTTCAAGAGTCAGTTGATCCAAGTCAGTTAGTTCAAGTCCAGGTTGGTCCAAGAACCAGTTAGTTCAAAGTCAGCTGGTCCAAGGAATCCAGTTGGTTCCAGAGTCAGTTGATCCAAGGAAATTAAGGTTTGATTAAAGGTCCGGCTGATCCAAGTCAGTTTGGTTCAAGTCAGTTGATCCAAAGTCAGTTTGGTTCAGAAGTCAGTTGGTTCAAGAGTCCAGTTGGTTCAGAGTCGGTTGGTTCCAAGAGTCAGTTGGTTCAAAGAGTCCAGTTGATCCAAGGAGTCAGTTGGTCCAAGTCAGTTGATCCAAGAGTCCAATTTGGTCCAGAAGTCCAGCTGGTCTAAGAGTCCGAAGTTGGTTCCGGAAGTCGGTAGTTGATCAAAAATCAGTTGGTTCAGAAGTCAGTTAGTTCAAGAGTCAGTTGGTTCAGAGTCAGTTGGTTCAAAGTCCAGTTGGTCCAAGGTCAGGTTACGTTCCAAGAGTCCGGTTGGTCCAAGTCCAGTTGGTTCAAGAGTCAGTTGGTTTCCAGGAATGGGTTGGTTCAAAGTCAACTGGTCCAAAGTCAGTTGGTCCAAGAGTCAGCTAGTTCAGGGGTGATTGGTCCAAGAGTCAGTTGGTTCAAGAGTCAGTTGGTCCAAGAGTCAGTTAGTTCAAAGGTCAGCTGGTCCAAGAGTCAGTTGGTTCAAGAGTCAGTTGGTCCAAGAGTCAGTTGGTTCAAGAGTCAGTTGGTTCAAGAGTCAGTATTGATGTGCTTTGTCTGGGCTTCCTGACGCCGCCCAGTGTGTCCCTTCACCCACCTACTGTCTCCCTCACCCACCCCCCACTATCTCCCTCACCCACCCCCCACTATCTCCCTTCACCCACCCCTCACTATCTCCCTCATCCACCCCCCACTATCTCCCTCACCCCACCCCTCCTCACCCACCCCCCCCCACTATCTCCCTCACCCACCCCCCACTACTCCCTCACCCACCCCTATCTCCTCACCCACCCCCTATCTCCCCTCACCCACCCCTCACTATCTCCCTCATCCACCCAGTGTTATTGTATTCCTTTGTTATTTTCTCACCTGGTGACCAAGTGCCCTAGATGTCCTCTCCTTAATTACTTTACCTGGGCTTTTCACCTGGGCTTTAACCTTAACCTAACTTAATCAAACTTTACATAATCTAGTGTAATTAATCTATCTTAGTCTAATGTGTCGTAAGGTAATCTAAACCTGTTTTAAGATAGTCTAACCTAACCTTTCCTCTCTTTTTATACTTCATTATTTTCCTTTGTCCTTCCCTCCCCCCTCCCTCTTCTCCTCCTCCTTATCTCTCCCTCCATTATCACCCCTCCCCCCCTCCCTCTCTCTCTCTCTCTCTCTCTCTTCCAGACCATCCTTCCTCCCCATCTACCGTCCTAACCCTACCCTTCCTTCCTTCCTCTCTCTCCTCCTCTCCTCATACCCATAATAAACCACATATTTTACGATGAAAAACACACAAAAATCAACAACAAAAACACATCTATTGAATTATTCAGTGTCATCCGAGTCCCTATTTTTTTTCTCAATATTTTTCACGATTTTCCCTATTGAGTTACGTTCAGATGATGGTTTTGTTATACTTGAGTACGATGAGTTACCATTTGAGTACGTGAGTTGCCCCTTGAGTACATTGAGTTACCCCTTTGAGTACGTGAGTTACCCCTTGAGTACATATAGTCACATCCTTGAGTACAATGACTGAGTAACTTAACCACTATGTCATTCTATTGGAAAGAAGAGGTATAAAATAATAATAATAATAATAATAATAATAATAATAATAATAATAATAATAATAATAATAATATTAGAATAATAGTAATAATAATAGGAATAAGCCACATAGTGAAATGTGGGTGGCGATCTCCGTAGAGTTTCGCCAGTAATAATAATAATAATAATAATAATAATAATAGCCATACTTTTATCTAAAACACTAATAGGTTTTAATACGTTTCTCTCTATCTATCTATCTCACTTTTGTCACTTGTACCCTTCTCGTCCGGAACGCCTATTATATCCCCCCCCAAAAATATACAAAAAATATCTGAAATATATAACCCGGAAAAAAAAGCTTACTATATTTACGGAGAGGGATAAAGCTGATGAGTGGGAGGTGGAGAGGGGCGGGGTGAGGAGGGAGAGGGGGGAAGGAGGGGGGAGAGGAAAGTGGGGAGGGGTGGGGGGGGTTGTGTTTCCTCCCTAATGGAATTGGTTTACCTGCTTTGTTGTTAACTATTTTATCGTCTATCAAAGAATAGTATCAAAAGGCGTCTATTATTTCATTATTCTCTACAGCAACTCAAACAAGAACACACACTTTTATTTTTAGTATTTTTTTATTTTTTTTTATTTTTTTATTTTTTTATTTTTTTTTATTTATTTATTTATTTATTTATTTATTTATTTATTTATTTATTTATTTATTGTTATTTGTTGCATTTTATTTTATTTTTTCTTACAATGTTCGTAAATATATATAAAAGTTTGAATATTTTTAGGTAAATTTTGGCGTGTGGTGGTTAAGAGGTGTGTGTGGGAGGTAGTTATGAAGGCCGTGTCGTGGAGAGGGTTATAGTTGAGTGGGGATGGTGAGGTGTGGGTAATTGGGTGTGGTAGTGTGGGTAGTTGAGTGTGGGTAAGAAAGTGTGGGTAGGAGAGTGTGGGTAAGAGGGCATGGATAGTGGTGAGAGATAATTGGTCTGGATGTTCAGCTGAGAGGAACAGAAGGAGTGCAGTTCTTGATGATGTGGTGGGGCGTGAGTAGTGGGATGTGAGGTGAGTGGGGTGTGGTAGTGGGATGTGAAATGAGTGGGGTGTGAAATAGTGGGGTGTGATGAGTGGGATGTGAGGTGAGTGTGGGTGGTGGGATGTGAAGTGAGTGGGGTGTGTGAAGTGGTGGGATGTGGTGTGAGTGGGTGTGAGGTGAGTGGGAGGTGAGGTGAGTGGGGGTGAGGCAGGTGGGACTGAGGTGAGTGGGGTGTGAAGTGAGTGGGATGTGAGGTGAGTGGGGTGTGAAGTGAATGGGGTTTGAGGTGAGAGGGAAGTGATGTGAGGGGGGAAGTGAAGTGAGTGGGATAGAGTGCCTCAGTTCGGCCAGCTGACGACAAGAGGCACAAGCAGAGTGAACAGTTCCTCCTAACTTTACCAGCAGAGTTGTGTCACTTTGTCAGGCAGCTGACGTTGAGGAGCCAGTGTGAGCTGACAAGGGCTGACTATCACCAGGTCCGCTCCAGCCTGCCACCACCTTGGCTGACAGCCCCAGTAATAGTGCCACCAATGCCATTATCACAGCACCAGTAACAATATTCAAAATGTCATAATGAAAGCAATAGTAACAGTGCCACTATAACATCCTTAACAGTGCCAACAGTGCCACCTTAACACCCTTAACAGTGCCAACAGTGCCACTATAACAACATCAATAGTGCCAACAGTGCCACTATAACAACATCAACAGTGCCACTTTGACACCCTTAACAGTGCCAACAGTGCCACTTTGACACCCTTAACAGTGCCAATAGTGCCAACAGTGCCATTATAACAGTGCCAACAGTGCCACTATAACAACATCAACAGTGCCAACAGTACCATTATAACATCCTTAACAGTGCCAACAGTGCCGATATAACAACATCAATAGTGGTAATTTCATACTAACTTTATCCGTGTGTAAGTCAATGACGTCTATAGGTAGGTACAAGTTGGCTTCCCTTAATTACCTACCTTACCTCCCTACCTCACCTTACCTACCTACCTCACCTTACCTCCCTACCTCACCTTACCTCCCTACCTCACCTTACCCTACCTACCCCACCTACCTACCTACCTACCGACCTACCTACCTTACCTACCTACCTCACCTTACCCTACCTACCTACCTCCCTACCTACCTACCTCACCTCACCTCACCTTACCCTACCTACCTACCTCCCTACCTACCTACCTCACCTCACCTCACCTCACCTCACCTACCTACCTACCTACCTCACCTCACCCTCCCTACCTACCTACCTTACCTACCTCACCTTTTGTTTACACCTTAACAAAATAATAAAAACATTGTCAGGTATTTTATTTTATATTTATTGACTTATTTTGTGTAAATTTTGAGGGGTTGATTTTTTTTCTATATTTGATTTAATATGAAAATGAGGGTCATCCTGAGGCATCTATGTAAAGACAGGTCACAGAGGGAGATGGTTAGGTCTTGTTAGTGTATGGTATGATGAGGGAGGGAGGGAGGGAGGGTAGGAGAGAGGGAGGGTAGGAGAGAGGGAGGGAGGGACAAGGATGTAAAAGAAGGAGACAAGGGGAAAGGAAGTATGGGAGGGAAAGAAATGAGGGAGAAGGAAGGGAGGCAGAAGGAAGTGAAGGAGGAAAGGGAGAAGAAAGGGAGGCAGGGACGTGGAAGTGAAGGAGAACAGGGAGGAAGAAGTGTGTGGAGAAGAAATATAAAGATTATTTTGTCTGAGTGTTGAGACTGGATAGGGTTCAATCTCTCTCTCTCTCTCTCTCTCTCTCTCTCTCTCTCTCTCTCTCTCTCTCTCACCTCTATTTATTTTTACTTTCTACGTTTAACACACACACACACACACACACACACACACACACACACATTGCATATTTTCAGAATTCCTCCAAAAAATATTATTCCCGGATTCGCTATTTGTGAAGAGAGTTGCTTTTGGGTTACAATGCAAATTAGTACGTGTGGTGGTTGGCAAAGATGTCGGCACGTGTTAGCTCAGTCTACACTAAAACATTTGGGGTAAATTTATTTGTTCTTGTCTTTGTACTTTGATTTTTTGTGTTATATTTGGTTGTGTATTTGTTATTACTGGTGTTGTTGTTATTATTATCATCAGTGTTGTTATTGTTGTTGTTTAAACGTCAATTTCTATTTCTCGTAAAAAAACGGAAAAAAAATCTTTTCATCGTGGCACTGATTGGTCGTTTTACATGACGTCATAGATACGTCACTGAAAAACAACACATCCTATTGGTGAACAGTTACATATATCGATGCTATGTGAGGCCTAAAGATATTCCCTTAATACTTATCATAATTTCTACTGGGAAAAAAATTAAATAGAAAAAAATAGTAAAAATAGAAAAAACTAGACGATTAGTGAAAGTTATTTTGAGAACATAGATCTTAGGTTTAATTACGTAACAAGGTGATTGGTGAACTCTGCCTTGTTATTTACGTTACCAAACTGATGAACAAAGTCTATTCCAATAAGTTAAATCTCTCGAAACACCTTAATTATAGTTACATGTGAACGGAATTTATATCCAGTGCCTTTAACCCCTTGAGTACAATGTTATTGTACTCTAGGGGTTAAATCATCGTACTCAAGGGGTTAAATCATCGTATTCTAGGGGTTAAATCATCGTACTCTAGGGTTTAAATCATCGTACTCTAGGGGTTAAATCATCGTACTCAAGGGGTTAAATCATCGTATTCTAGGGGTTAAATCATCGTACTCTAGGGTTTAAATCATCGTACTCAAACATACAAAAAAAGAGTCAACAATACGTTTTCATCATTTTATATCATCACTACACCTTCAACAACAATTAAGGCCATTAAGGTCATACCAAGGTCAGTAATTAACACCAAACCATCAACAAGTAAAAAGATACAAGACTTTATGAACTTTCCAAAAGTATTATGAGTCAAGATTTATCATTAAACTTTTAATATATTTTACATCTTGGGGGGAAAAATATTGGTGGAGTCTTATGGAAACTTCCCGGAGTGTTTGTTGTATGGAGGAGGGGTCGGCCTTCAGGGGTCGGCCTTCAGCTGCCTCCTCCACTATACAGCCACACATCTTAAGTTGGGTTGAAGACAAGTTGGGGTTCTGCTGATGTTTGCGATTTCCCTGTGTGTCGTTAGGCTTGAGCCCTTTCCACGCACACCCCCTACCTCTCCGCCGGCCCCCCACCCCTTCCCCACCCCTCCTCCACCTCCCCTCCGCACTCAAGGCTGAACTGGAGAGGAGGGGGGGGGGGATATTGGTTTGTGTTTTGAATGTCTCAGGCTAGAATAAACAGATCTGTCCACACACACACACACACACACACACACACACACACACACACACACACACACATTATAGTATATTTCAATAAGACCAACGCTGAATTCGGAGCGATAATCGACCTCAACAAACAATGTAAAACAAACAGAGGTCATTTGGCCTTAGTGGTAGGGAGTGTGGGACACATATTACTGTAGTAGTTAAATGAGAGGAACTTTAATACAATTTGGTAGTCTGAGTTTCCCCCTTGTTGTCGGATTTACATACAGATAGACACTGGCTAATATAATTATACATTTCCATTTACAAATATACACATACTCTTGAAATACACACACATAACCACGCACATAACCCTGTACGTACACATATACACAGATATTAAAACAAGTTGTAGTATACATGTGTGTGTGTATTCACGTCTCTCCGTACATAAAAGCTCACATATACTATCCATATAAATGTAAAAATAATATACACACTTACATACACACATACAAAACTATCTACACCCGTACACAAGTTACATACACACTCAAATGTATACAAAAACACAGACACATTATATAATAGTTGGACAAAGGAGCGAAATCAACGTCATAACCCCTATGAAAATTACAGTTGTCAGGATGAATTATTAATAAACAGTCCATAAATTTTACAGAAGTACGACCACTGAATCTATCTAGGTTACTGTACTAACACACGGACACTACCACTAATTTTAACTCAACTCGACAGGTTTTCGTTCACCTAACCTCAACTAACCTAACCTAACTTAACCTAACCTCACCTCACCTCACCTCACCTAACCCCACCTCACCTCACCTCACCCTAACCTAACCTCACCTCACCTCACCACCTCACCTCACCACCTCCTAACCTAACCTCACCTCACCTAACCCATATGAAGGATATATTTCAACAGATACTTTTCACGGAATAATGCTGCCAGACGTATGATAAATGACCTGAGGAAGACGACGATGCCAGTACGATATTTTTTACTTCCTCAACATTTCAGTGAACCGTATGACATGTAAACAGTGTTGCTGATAATGTGAGTGAGAGTACTAGCGTGTTCCATCACTTCACTGTCTGTTTAGTTGAAGCAATCATTGTGTCAACCTTAAAGTGAAGCAAATATATATATATATTAATACTTAAAAGGTTTGCGTCCCATAAAACAGTACTGCGTAATAAGTGAGAGTTGAGATCAATTTAGAAGCAAGAGGTGGCGTCTGGCAGGGGGATACAACTGACCTTGGCTGTTTATTCAGTGACTATTACGGTAATTGAACCTTGTTAGACGTAATGTAGTCTGATTATAAGTGTACAACAACGCAGTAAATTTGTACTCGTTTTTGGTCATATGAGCTCAAGCCTCTCAAGTTTCAAAGCAGATCTGTAAACCCTCATTCGTAACTCACAATGCTTCCACCGACACTCCAAACAACACACCTCAGACAACACACGTAGCTCACTAATCTATAAACATCCTGTAAAGTTGTTTGAGATTGTAATAAAACCTCTTAGGACAATCTCGGAAAATCTCGACGAATCTCGTAAAATCTCGTAAAATCTTGGCAAATCTCGTAAAATCTCGTAAAATCTTGGCAAATCTCGTAAAATCTCGCTTAATACTGAAATATAAACCCGTATTCTTAAGTCCTGAAGGAGGATTAACTTGAAATCTCTTAATGAAGGAAGACAATGAATTACAAGGGAGAAGACTAAGGAATTTCTCTCTCTCTCTCTCTCTCTCTCTCTCTCTCTCTCTCTCATAATTCCAACGCCAGGAGGGTGACAACAGTAGAAGTGGGGGGAGAATGTATGTGAATCTCTCTGTGTCTGAGTATTTGTGTCTGTCTTTGTGAGTCAGACTGATGGCTTTGTTTTTATTTTTAAGTTTGCAACACTTCAAACCTTAAGCACCACAGGCAGTCCGTCCGTGCGTGTGTGGAGCCATCCGTGCGTGCCTGTGTGTGTGTGTGTGTGTGAGCGCGCGTGCTAACAGGTCCCAATTCTTAATGGGTACCAGTCTTCCAAATAGGTCCTTATCCAAATAGCCCCTATTAATACCTACTATAAATTGATTGAACTGATTGAACACCTAATCTCAATAGTTAGGTTAGGTTATAATCTCATGGGGCCCAGTCCTATTTCCACTGGGGCCCACAAGAGAGGCCCCACGACAAGACTGGAGGAGTTATATAGCATGTTTGACCATACTTATTCAGCGTTGTGTGGCGGAGTGTAACAGTCTGGTGTGTGTTTTTGTTTTGCTGGTGTAGTGACTTAAGAGCATTGCTGTTATGAGAGAGAGAGAGAGAGAATACCACCACCATGGCCTCCTTCATTAGTAAAACAGTATAGAAAAAATAGTACTGGTATATATCTCTCTCTTCCTCCTATAGGTATCAGCCGAGATGCCCCACTCCCACCACCACCACCACCACCTTCACCACCGTCACCAGTCCTTGCCTTCTGCTGCATCCCTCGTGCTGTGGGCCGCCCTAGTGTGTCTCCCAGGTTAGTAATGGGTCCTTTATGAGTTATTGATGCAAGAACAAGAGTAATGTTATTGATGCAAGAACAAGAGTAATGTTATTGATTCAAGAACAAGAGCAGGAAATGTTTTTTAAGACGCTGTAAATACTGTTAATGATACAATAACAAAGAGACATATATTTAGATTAAAGTTAATGCTGTTACATGGAGTACTTCAGGGCAGTTGATTGTGGCCCATTATTTTTAGCTACTATCATTAAGTTTAGCAGAAATATTCCTAACCTAACCTACCCTAACCCAACCTAACCTAACCTAACCTAACCCTTCCCCACCCCAATCCTACCCTACCCCACCCCAATCCAATCCTACCCTACCCTACCCTACCCTACCCTACCCTCACAGTTTTAGTATGAAATAATCTGACTGTGGGTAAAAGATAAGTAATGATCGTGGTAACTTTCCTTGTGAGAGAGAGGGAAAAAAATACGCCCATATACTCTCCTGAAATACGGCTCCTTATTACTGCTATTTCCGGAGTTTACAAGGGCGTGGGGGGTAAATTTTGTCTGGTTTACAAGGGAGCGTGGTTTACCTTCTGTGAATAGGCGTGTGGTTTAGGTTGGTTTTGACTGTCATGTTGGTTTAATTGACTGTCATGTTGGTTTTGACTGGCATGTTGGTTTTGACTGGCATGTTGGTTTTCATAGCTCGGTTTTGTGACTTTAATTGTTTTTCATGACTATTTTGTGAGTAAAAATGACAATAACAATAATAATAATAACAATAACAACAACAACAATTTATCTACAATATAGTTTTTACTCACATATAAAAAACTTCTTTGTTATAAACTGCCAAAAAATTACAAAAAACAAAAAACAAAATTATAATTCACCGACACTCTTTCATATCCTCCCCAGCAGAAACTTTCAACACACTTTAATGAACACAACAACATCAAGAACTAAGTATCATTCTTAGTTTCTAGTGATATTGATACCAATTCCACGTGTATCTGGGAATAACGTATCCTGATTGGTCATCGTTCACCAAGGTTATATTTTAATACTAGTAATAACGTGTTTTGATTGGTTGTCGTTTTCCGAGGTTTTATTTTACTAGGAATAACACGTTTTGATTGGTTGTCTTCACCAAAGTTTTAATCAATACTCGCAATAACGCGTTTTGATTGGTCCTCATTCTTCTAAGCTTCGTTTAATATTCATCTCAATGGTTAGTAAGGCAGCGTTTTCCCCCGGTGTATGATAGTGTCTTTAATAAATAGCTGTTATTTTGTCGTATTTGGTACAGCTTGAATATAGACAGAAAAATCTCAGGTAAAACTTAATGTACTGATATATCCTAATAGGGTCTTTAACTAACTCAATAATCAATGGTTGTTTCTCTATACTTCTCGAGTTATTGTTCATTCTGTCTCAAAGTTATTATAGAAATTCCTGGATATTTAACTTCAATAAGAAAATAAGGATGTATGTATGTATGTATGTATGTATGTATGTATGTATGTATGTATGTATGTATGTATGTATGTATGTATGATATCTTCACTACATTAATCTGGATGGATTTCTAAGACCCTGTTATTTATTTCTGCTTTATTTTGCTCTCTCTTTCTCTCTCTCTCTATCTCTCTCTCTCTCTCTCTCCCTCCCTCACTCCTATCTTATCTCACCCTCTCCCCCCAACAGGCTGCGTGTGGGCATGGTCTCGGGCACCTCGCCATGTGGTCCCCGTGCCCACTCTGCCAGGACCCACCTTACCGCCCGTGTTTGATCCGCTAGTGCCCATCAACGTGACCGTGACGGCATCCAAGACGGCACTACTCTCCTGTGTCGTCCATAACCTTGGCAACAACTCGGTAAAGTGAGCCTCTGTATGTGTCAGCCAGCTCTATGAATGTTAATCTTGACTGACTGACTGACTGACTGGCTGGCTGGTAGTAAGTGTTGCTCATTTTAAAGTATGTGTCAGTCAGCACTATGAATGCTAACCTAGCCTTAAGGATTGGAGCCTATTATGGCTAGGTTAGTGTGAGTGTGTGTGTGTGCGTGTGTGTGTGTGTGTGTGTGTGTGTGTGTGCGTGTGTGTGTGTGTGTGTGTGTGTGTGTGTGTTACTCTTTTACCAATATTTACATTAAGTGTTGAGGTGGCAGAGTAGATACAACATTCGACTCCCGTCCTAAGGGTGGCTGGTTCGAGTTATGGACGCCCCAGTTGCCCCTTCCTCTTCCTGCTATAAATCATGTGAAGTTCATCTGAGTTTCATGGTAGTCTTTTGAGCTTCAGGTGAGTCCCTTTGTGAACTTCAGGCGACTCCCTTTGTGAACTTCAGGCGAGTCCCTTTGTGAACTTTATATACACCTGCATTACCCCCACACAGGTATCGTATTATAACACCTGTCTTCTCCCTCACAGGTGTCGTGGATTAGGCACAGGGACCTCCACATACTGTCGGTCGGGCCAGTGACCTACACCAGTGACTCGAGGTTCCAGGTAGTGCCACAGGAAGGCTCTGGTGACTGGGTATTGAGGCTCCTGTACTCCAGCCCTCGCGACTCTGGCCAGTACGACTGTCAAGTGTCCAGTACACCGCCCATAGCTCGCACCACCCACCTCACTGTTGTAGGTAAGTGCCGCTGCCGCCCACTGCCACTCACCGCCCTCATAGAGCTCTTACGCCTTACGGTCTTGACAATATACATAACCTAACCACAAATAACCAGGTAGAGATGGCGTTCGGTAATACATTGTGTGTTCGACTTAAAGTAAAACAAATCAGCACACTCAGCGTATGTTTATCAATACGCTGAGACTAATCGTATGAGCATATTTCATCCCTTTGACCTGACCTGACTTGACCTGACCTGACCTGACCCCGATTTCAGAGTATTACCGTCTCTCACTGCCTCTCATTCTTCTCTCCCAGCTTGTGGACTCTTACTCTCTTCTTCCTGCTCGTGAGACTCCCCCCCCCTCACCCCTCCCTGATTCAGACGCTCCTCTCTCTACTTCTCCCTTCCCACGCCTCTCACTCCCTCTCTCAGCCCACTCCTCTCACAGCCCACGCCTCTCACTTCCCTCTCACTCTTTCTCTTCCCACGCTTGTTTATGGACCATCCTAAAGTGTTGTGGTGTTAGTGGCGCCCACACCTATTGTGCCACAGTGAGAGAGAGAGAGATTAAACAGACTACACAGCAAGACTTCACAAAACGACACAGCACATGACACAACACGACACGTCATCACAACACGACACAAACACGTCATTACTCGGGTATGAAATTAATGCAAAATGGAATTCTCTCAATCTGTCTCCCAGTAGTTTAGGTCAATACAAACGCTAATACAGACTTAATATTATAATCTTAGTAATTCCTCAATGATTCAATTACCACCATGATAATTATTGAATTTGTATCCAAAACAGTGAACTGAACTGCCGGCTGCGGGTATCTCTCTCTCCTTCCTTGGCTATTCTCTGTCTCACATACACAAATACACTCTCTTAGCTCTCACCTACCTTAACCATTATATAAACACCAACAAATACATTCCCTCTACCACCACTAATTTATTCCCCCAAAACAAAAACATTGCAGCAAACACCTTTATTTGTTTTCCTTCGACTCTCCTTTAGAACCACAAGCCAAGATCCTGGGAGCACCGGATATCCATATAGTCCACCATCAACCTGACGTGTGTGGTAGCTTATTCACCTGAACCACCTGATTACCTGTATTGGTACCACAGGGAGAGGGTAAGTACCATTTCAAAAGGATACCAGGTAGATTGATATTATTTTTTGTACCGTGATATTTATGCTGTACGGTATCTAATAGTTGAATGATATTGGTATTATATATTCACTACTACTCGTTCAATACCACGTCTACATTACACGCCCACTATCACTAGCACACGTTCACTACCACTATTACACGTTCGATAACACACTACCACACGTTCACTACCACAAACACACACCTCACTAACACTACCACACGTTCACTACCACACGTTCACCACCACTAACCCTCGCACCACAAAGCTGGAGCCAGTATTGCGGTGGGAGCCAGCCCCACAGATGGTACTAATTGCCCATATAACCAGCTGTAGAAAGCCAACAAGTGTGTGTGTGTGTGTGTGTGTGTGCGTCTATGTGACAGATGGTGCGTGACGACGGGGCGAGAGTGTGGGCAGGAGGACACAGCTGGCTTCGGAGAAGCGTGAGCCAGTTGGTGGTGATGAACGCTTCCCCCAGTGACTCTATGTGTACACCTGCAGCCCCGCCCACTGCCTGAGCATTCCATCACTGCCTTTGACAGGTGGGTGTATGGGGGGGCTAATGGGTGGTGTAGTGGGTGTAAGGGGCTAACATGTGGGTGTATAGGGGGGCTAATGGGTGGTGTAGTGGGTGTAAGGGGCTAACATGTGGGTGTATAGGGTTAATAACTAGGTGTAAGATGCTAAAAGATTGGTTAGGTTAGGCTACAGTAAGTTTGGTTAACTTAAGACTTAGTTAACCTAACCTAAGAGTTAATAGTGATGCCTAATTGCACTCATATTGGTTAAATTAGGCCTAAATGAAGGTTGGGGGACCAATTAGGAATGGTGGGCCAATTTAATTGTAGCTTTAAACACTGCAATTATCCTTTTTCTCTCCTCATTAGCACCTCACTATGATGTAACATTCTTCTTCTCCTTCTCCTTCTCCTTCTTCTTCTTCTTCTTCTTCTCCTTCTTCTTCTTCTCCTTCTTCTTCTTCTTCCTCCCAACTGCCTAATATATCCTATATCTTACCGCTATTAACACTTCTTCCTCCTCCTCCTCCTCCTATTCTTCCTCCTATTCTTCCTCCTATCTTCTTCCTCCTCTCTTCTTCCTCCTCCTCCTCCTCCCACTGCTCAACACTAACTACCACCACCATCACTAATAATACCGTCCCATACCTCTTCCACCCTCCCCTCATGTCCTTCCCTCCCCCTCTCACCCTCCTGCCAGCACACCATCAACACTAACACAATGCCTTTTCCCCACCACCACCTTCAGGAGAGTACCCGGCAGCGATGCAGGGAGGGTCATCAGTGACGTGTGCTGGCCGACGTGTGTGGGCCCTCCTCGTCATCGTCGTCGTCACCACTACTATATCCCCCCCTCTCCTTTTACCCTATTTTTATATGTAAACAAATTAACAAATAAATAAATAAGTTAATAAATAAGGATTTATATATATTATTAAGCGTTTTATTATTCCAGTGTTGTATCTTGTTTTAGTTGTTAGTGAAAGTTATTATAGACGGGTTTTAGAAGATTATGTAGTATAGAATGTGAAAAAAAAAAGTCGGGAAATTGGATGTGGTTTTATTCGTATGAGAAATTGTATATTGTAAGAGTTTAACTATGTATTTAAAACGGAAACGATGGACGGATAGGCAGTCAGTCAGTCAGATGGGGAAACGGGGAAACAAGACAGACAAACAGACAGACAGGGATGATAGTATAAGTCATACATATATTCAAGACGGGGCATAAACAGAAGGTTGGGTGTGACGTCATCATCCCCCCCCCTCCCAGGGTTCCCACACTATCAACACAACCGGGAATAACAATAATATAAATTTTGGTGTTCATCGGAAAAATAAACTTTGAACTTTGTAAAAAAAAAATGAATAAAAACAGAACAAGAAGGATATAGACCATAGATATTCCTAATTAAATAGACGCTCGTGGAACTCTCATCATTAAATATGGGTAAAAAAATTCCCCTTGGCTGAGGTTAAGATCTGGGGCAAAAAAAAAAAAATACTTCTCAATGTTCCTGAAAAAATAAACTCTTGGAATTTGATTTGTCTTAGAGTATGGGAAGCCTGACCTTAAAATGGTAGGTTAGACGTGACGTGTGGCTGCCTGGTACCTAATCTAACCCTAAACCCTTGAACCTCATACTGACCATAATCAACATACATCTTTATCGTCTAAATATCTATAATTTTCTTGCAACATATATCACACAATTGCAATAAGCTCTCTCTTGCATGACGAAACATTATACCGGCTTTAAGCAATGCACTGGGATGCTTTCTAGCAGGATTAGACTAATGATGGGTTAAAACCTTTTCTTGCAAGATGAATCGCATGCTATTTAACTTTAAACCCTAAGGATTCAACTCAATTCTTGCAAGTGAAGTCTAGCTTGGTTAGGTTAGGTTGGGTTAGGTTAGGTTAGGTTAGGTTAGGTTTAGGTTGGGTTGGGTTGGGTTGGGTTGGGTTAGGTTGGGTTAGGTTAGGTTAGGTTAGGATTAGGTTGGGTTAGGTTAGGTTAGGTTAGGTTAGGATTAGGTTGGGTTAGGTTTTATATCACGAAAATAAGTTATTATTTTTTTTCAACAAACTTTTTTTCATGTTAGTTGAACCTTTTTCAGTGAGGGGAAATATTTTATGGCATTACGAATCTTTTCCTGTAAGAATAATTCCAGAGAGGATAAAGCCACTACAGAGAGCTCCTGTATTAAAGGTGATGTTTAGTTCTGGGTTAAGCTGGGGCACTAAGCCATTACACTGAACCTACTCCTTATACGATTATCTTAAGCCAAAACAATAATGGGTTAGATCTCTGCTTGCACTACGCGCATCTCACTGGGTTAAGCAGTAGTTGAGTCGTTCACCCCACACACGACTATGGCTGTAGACTGTGAGGTGTGTGACCCCATGATTGTAGAGCGCCCCTTGACACCTCCCCCGCCCTCCTGCCATCACTGTCCTCCTACCTCTGGTCTACGAGAGAGAGAGAGAGAGAGAGAGAGAGAGAGAGAGAGAGAGAGAGAGAGAGACCATTTAAAGACAGGAGTCAATATTCAGCTAAAAGTTAGACTGTGTGTGTGTGTGCGTGTGTGTGCGTGTGTGTGTGTGTGTTAAACCCTCAAAAACAACTCATATTTACCATTTCATTACCACCAGAAAGTTTCAATAGACTGTGAACATTGATGATGCATTTATCAACATAAGGTTAATGTCCCTTGCTATGATTATAGTGAAATCGGATATGCAAATTATATATATCCAAGTTATAGTGTTATAGATTATATAATGAGGTCATATATTACACTGAGGTTAATTAACGCTACAATGGATAAAGTATAATAGAATTAATATATAAACTGTATATATATCTTGGAGTATATCAGTAAATAGTTATATAAAAGTGTGTGTGTGTGTGTGTGTGCGTGTGTGTGTGTGTGTGTGTGTGTGTGTACCTGACCAGTAGTGTGGATTAATACAAATTAGGCTGAGTGACCTTTAGGAAGATGGTATGGCATGGAGGTAGGTCATACTAAAGCCTCTGGTAGTCTGGTGATATACCGTGACCTGTCATGTTCCGTGACCGTGACCTGTCATGACCAGTCTTGACCTGTGACCTCTTCATGACTTATTGTAAGCCGTTATGATCACAACACGACATTAATGTGTTTGACCTTAGACGACCTCACGTGACCTCACCCTTGCTACCATAAACACACCTGACCTCTCATGACTTTTCTTGACCTCCCTTATCTTCTCATGACCACCCGTGACCTCTCGTGACTTATCATGGCCCTTCATGACCTCCCGTGGCTCAACTGACCTTGACCTCACAGGGGTGTGGACGGTGTAGTTATGTGTCATGAAGTTGCATGACTTATACCTCACCATGAAGCTTGAATTTTTACATAAAACTGCGTGAACTGCGTGACCTGTCGTGACCTGTCGTGACCTGTCGGGAGGTTGCACGATGCCTCCTATCTTAAGATTTTAAAGCCATTAAAAGAGAAAGAATATATATAAATATGTTTGTGTTTTAAAATTTCTGGGTTTGATTTTCCTCGGTGTTGACTTTATCCGGATAACTTTTGTTCGGCTGCAGCTGCCTTTTGACGTCGCACGGTCAGAGGGTGAATATTATATACAAATATTAGTATATCATTCTTAACCTAACATAACTTAGCCTAACCTAACCTTCAGTTTTAGTTGGATCTTGTGGACACGTCATCAGTTTCCCCCAAGCGGCTGGGTGGGTCCCTGCCAAGAGTCTTATGGCCCAAGAAAGATTGTAGACCCTTAAAACGTCAATAGGTTCACACGGATGAGCAGCCAGCCAGCCAAGAGACAGACCTAACCTAACCTAACTAAATCGAACCAAAACCTAACCTAACCAAATCGAACCAAAACAAAACCTAACCTAAAAATACGCTTTGGAATATAGGAATTAAAGGGTTAAAGAGATGATCCAGGCTTAAGACTCTCAGCCGTCAGCTTCGCCCAGCTTACTCTTGATAGTCTGAGTGTAATCCATGAGTGGGTTGGGTTGGGTTAGGTTAGGTTAGGTTAGGTTAGGTTAGGTTAGGTTAGGTCAAGCAAGAAGGACAAATGTACAAACGGACACACCAATAGACGGATGCTTGGACCCCCCCACCTCCCCTACTTTCCCTCCTTCCACAACCTACCTTCCGTCCCCCCCTTCCCTCCCTCCCCAAACCCCCCTTCCTCCCTCCCCCTCCTCCCTCCAACCCCCTACCTTCCTCCCTCCTCCCTCCGTGGCGCCACCGACCATCTCAACACGACGTCGGTAAATACAAGGAAAGACAGGTAAGATGGCAGTGTAATTGAGAAGGTATTTACCCCCGTTGAATCACTCGGTGTGTGTGTGTGTGTGTGTGTGTGTGTGTGTGTGTGTGTGCGTGTGTGAAAACCTCTGCTAATTAAGGTAGTTACCTGTCTTGTTTAGGAGTTGGGTAATCCACACTGTACTTCAATACAGGTGAGTTTCTTGAAGTCCTCCCGTGAATATTGGGCAAGAAACATCATTGAGAGACAGTGAAGCAAGAGAGACAGTGAAGCAAGAGAGAATGTGAAGCAAGAGAGACGGTGAAGCAAGTGAGACAACATCGAGACAGTGAAGCAAGAGAGACGGTGAAGCAAGAGAGACAATATTGAGAGACAGTGAAGCAAGAGAGACGGTGAAACAAGAGAGACATTGAGAGACAGTGAGGCAAGAGAGACAACTGGCTAGAGTTTAAAAAGAACAACTTAGAGACAAAAGTTCTCCTGGGAGCGAGGTCGACATGTTCCAAGTTGGATTTAAACAACTATTTTCATGTCTCAAAAACTCATAGCACCATTGTTTTTTCCGAGATTTAATTGTAAAACCTAAAGTGACGTAAAAATACCTCTGACGTATATCCTGGTGGCCGATGACGTCATATCCAGGTGGCCAATGACGTCATTT